TAGTAACCTATCACATTTCATTGTTTGGACTGTACTGAAACATTGTGAAACGGCACAATGTTCAAAGACGGAAATACAGTTGCTGTGGGCAATTGTACATTGCTGCTCTTTGCAATGTTTTATTAAATAAGTTTCTCTGGTTTTTAAAGGTCAAACCACGTTGTAAAGCTGTAACCCATGACAAGCAGCTTTTAGCAACTGTACCATGAATAATGAAAGATGCTTTCTGATTGGTTGTCAAGAATAAAGTGCTCTTTACTGTCACTTGTGCCATGTCAATAAATAAAACCCATAGGAACTGAAGAAGAAGCTTCAACTTTGCAGAACAAAATGTACCTGAATGTGACTATCTACTACTAGCCATAGAAAGTACATGATGCACAGTTCAAATTTACAGCATTGCTGCACGGTCTGACGCTTGCATACCAGAGAGCTGGGCCCATTCACACAGCATCCAGATCATCTCCAGACCAGACTGTTTCCGGACCCAAAATGCATCCTAATGTATCCCTGTGCTATTTCTGGCCTCTGTTCACACCAGCACAGTCCGTTCCAAATCAGACCAGGAAAATACTGCTCATCTCATTTTGTCTGGTCTGGAATGCATTGGAACTGCAGGCATGTTCACACCATTTTCCGCACCAGATCTGATCCGGAAAACGGTGTGAACCTGCCCTCGGCACAAGGCTGACCAAGGCTGCTGCTGGTATCTCAGTCTGGTCCAAGACAGCACGAAGCCAATGGTTTAATGAACATTGCATATGTATTGAGATATTTACTAAAGGAGTTGCGGATCTTCACGCAAGAAAATTGGTGAATGTTCACTTGAATTATACAATCACGTGCAGAGGAAATAAGTGTACAGAAATTTGCTTTTCACATGACTGAATAATTGAAGTGAAGATTCTCAGCTACCGTGTTTCCCCGAAAGTAAGACTTACCCCGAAAATAAGACCTAGCACTATCTTCAGGGATTTCTGTAATATAAGACCTACCCCGAAAATAAGACCTAGTTCGGTGGTAGGTCTTATATTACAGAAATCCGCTAGGTCTTACTTCCGGGGTAGCTGCACATAAACTGTGTAAAGACCGGCCGCAGCTCCCGCCCCGCCCACATGCCCGCCCACACACCAGCCTGCCGCAGCTCCAGCCCACACGCCAGCCGGCCGCAGCTCCCGCCCACACGCCCACCGGCCGCAGCTCACGCCCTGATTTCAGATAGGCAAATCAGCATCTAGAGATGAGGATTGCTAAAGAGGCTGTAGCCACATGCAGTGGCATGTCGCTCTGTCACTGGGCCGAATGCTGCTGATTTCGATCGCTGGCAATGGAAACAAGATTCTGCTGCCTTCCGCAGCTCCTGCCCCGCCCACACGCCCGCAGCTCACGCATGCACAATGGAAGCGACATCCGCCGGGACCGGCAACAGCACGCCGCCTTCCGGGACCTCGTCCACTCCTCCCCCAGCCAGGTAAGACATCCCCCGAAAATAAGACCTAGTGTCTTATTTCGTGCAAAAAAAATAATAAGACAGTGTCTTATTTTCGGGGAAACACGGTATCAAACCATACGGGTTTAGTTACAAAACTTTCACCCAGCACATAGCTGGGTAAATGCCATTAACATGGCACCAACGTCCCTAAATGGTGCAGATTTTTTATACTCCTCACCACCATCTTGAGGCGATAGTACCCTGAGGATGGCATTCACCCAGTGGAAGTTGTATACATAAACCTGACAGTGTCTTTCCAGGTCAGTCCACACTTGCCCACCACAGTCAGGCGCTCGCACGGCTCGTCACTGGTAATACTGCTGCAGAGAAAGTTGATAGCGACACAAAGGCATATTCCAAAAGCACCTTCTTTATTGATCCATGCATTCAATTACACAGGAAATGATCAGACATGACTAACATGTTTCACGTATGTGCGTGAAGTCTACTAGAACATGCGTCACACTTGTTTATGAAACATATTAGAAGTTTCTGTTCATCTCCTGTGTAATTTTATTGTATGGATCAATAAAGAAGTCACTCTTAGAGGATGTCGGCGTGCTGCTATCCTCTTTCTCAACTCCTTATAAAGTTAGCCTACACCACATCAACAACATGCACTAAGTGTTCCCTCTTTAGTGTACGCATATAATCCTAAGGCCCCTTAAACAATGTTGGCCCGATTGGGTCTGCTTGTCAGTTTTTCAAGCAGACCCGATTGGATGCCCGATGATAGTCTAAGGGGAGCTGGGCCTAAACAGACGGACATCCATTTACACCCAGTTACCACCGGCTCCGGCAAGATGGAGGAAAAAAACTAGACAGACATTGATGTCACAGCAGTAACGTCCGATCCGTACTGCTCTGATCAGGAGGGGGTCCATGCATGGATCAGCCTGTGTGAAAGGGGCCTAAAACTGGCCCTAAACCAGTAGAATTTTGTTTTGGAATGGATAATAGGGTCAAACACATGATCAATTTTCAACCGTGACGAAAAAGAAAAAATTGGAGGATGGAAAATATTTCTCGAATGAACAGAATTCTATCAGTGATTTTAGTTTTCATTCGGGAAACTCCATTAATTTCCAAATTCAAATGTCAAAAACAAAATGAAGCTTCAACGATATTCACCAAGTCTCTGATGTCGTTATCGAAAGTTCTGATGAGATTCTCATATAAAACTTTGTACAAAAATCTACCAGTACATGGTCAGCGGTAACAGTGTTCTTATGTATAGAAAACGTGAAAAAAATGACAGTGATAATAAGAGTTGAATCTTAAAAATACATTCAAGTAACCTAACTATTAACAAAAATGTATTTTATTTATGACTCGGCTGTATATCCTCAAATCATCTCTGAATTGGTGCTGACACTGTCCTTCCTTCTGGAGGGTGGCTACTTTTGTTCCCCATGGTCCCTGTGTGTATTGTAGAGTAGCCACCACTCCAAGCTCACTCCTGTAATGGATTACAATCTCAATACAAATTAGTAAACTAGACGTGAGATTGTAGTCCATCACAGGAGCGAGCTTGGAGTGGTGACTACTTTCCAATAGGGCTACAACCAACCAATCGATAATGAGAATATTTGTCAACTATTCTCATTATCGATTAGTTGGTTGGATTCCCTAGCTCCACGCTGGGAGGAAGGCACATCAAGCAGTGGGTGGGTGCAATAGCCAGCCTGCTATTGCAATATAAAATGGTGGCCAATAGCAGGCTGGCTATTGCACCTGCCCAATACCTGCTGTATTTACATTTAGCTCCCATGTGCAGAATCTTGCCACTGGCAGCTGTCATTCCCTGTCCGCAGCTAGTTAAGCGCCATGTGCTCACAATACAATTAGTTATAAAAAATAAAAATAAATATATATATATATATTGGAAAGAAAGTAATTTTATCGGCGTGATGGGGGTTGTGTTAAAGTGCCATTCATTTCAATGGCACCCCGAATGTGCCTCCCACCCACAGTGTGATTGCCTGCATTAGAACGCACGGCACCGTGATGCCGTGCGTTCCAGTACAGTGCGATTGCAAAAAAAGTGAGCATGCAGTTTTATTCTGCAGTAAACTTTATGTTTGTAACTTGTGTACTTTATTTTAAATTAAGGATTTAATTTGTTTATCTAATTAATCGAAAAAATAATCAGCCAAATAATCAATTTTAATTATGAAAATAATCATTAGTTGCAGCCCTACTTTACAACACACACAGGGACCATGGGGAACAAAAGTAGCCACCCTCCAGAAGGAAGGACAATGTCGGCACCAATTCAGAGATGATTTGATGATCTACAGCCGAGTGATACACAAATAAGATACATTACTATTAATGGGTAAAAGGTACTTGAATGTATTTTTAAGAAATTAACTCCTGAATTTAGCGTCACTGTAAGTAAAAACAAAACACTTAGGCCTCGCTCAGACCAGGGTGATTTCGTTGCGCGGAGTTTTCAGTGCTGACGCGCATGCAAATAAAATCCCATACATTCCCATGGGGACCGTTCAAGCAAACGCACGGAATCGCAGGTACAAATACGCCTGACACTTAAAGTGACATTAAAGGCAAAAATGTTTTTGCCTCAGCACAACGTCAATGAAAGCACTTAACTTAAATGATGTCTCTTAATCCGATCATCTTCTTCTTTCCTGTAGTTTTCAGCCTTCTCTCCTGCGCTGCGGCGAGTCTCCGATCCAGCGCTGACTCTGTGATTGCTGGCGCTTCCTCTCCCACGGTGCCTGCATGCGCGTGCACACTTCCATAGACTTACCTTCTGTCTCTCCTTGCGACCCGGCCGAAAATGTGAACTGCGCATGCGCCCGCGCCAAGATGCTTTGCGGCCACCCGAGCGGTTTCAAAATTTTCGGACGGGAGCGCGCAGGGAAGATACAGGTAAGTTTAAACCGCTGTTAAAGCGTTTTGTTTTTTTTTAACTATGTAAAAAAAGCTGAGGGTTTAGAAACCATTTAAAATGTGTCCCTTTTGTCGTGCTGATCAGCTCATTTTGCACTAAAGCCTTATTATTATTATTATAATACAGGATTTATATAGCGCCAACAGTTTGCGCAGCGCATTACAATATAAGGAAGACATTACAATCACAATACAATTCAAGACGTCAATGGAAATGCGCTGATCATCGCTATTCGGTGCAGTTTTTTTAATGCGCATTTCAGCAGCTGAGCCTGCTTCTCATTGGACACCTGAAAACGAGCTTCAAAAACGTGCTGACATATGAACAGAAAACGCCTGCAATACAAGCTGAAGTGTGCATTAAAAAATGCACAGAATCAAGCACAAAACAAAGCAAAAACACCCTTAAAAAACGCTGAAAACATTGCTGAAACACTGTCGCCCTGGTGTAAATGGTTCATAAAGATACACACTCCGAGTATTTCGTTTTTACGAGAAGACTTCAAAACAATTAGTTTGCTTGTAAAAAATCCCAGACTCCCAGGATTACCCTCTATTAATGCATTGTTACTACAGAGGGTGGGAAGTTGTTATGCTTAAGGGATACAAATGTGTCAGTTTACGGTTTAAAATATTTAAAGCTGCTGCACACAAGAGGAAACAGCTCCATGAAATGTAACATTAGTACAACAGCACAAAAAATACCATCTGGCTTGGCAAAGCCGGCTGCACTTACCACTCTGGGAGTTTATGGTAAAGAATCCACCGTATGGAATAAGGAAAAGAAAAAAAAAATGAAAACAGCTGGAATTCTGCTGGCCAACCTCAAAATAAGCCTTCAAATTTCTCCGGCTTGCAAAAAAAAAAAGACAGTGGAAATCAGTAGCTGCTTCACCAGGAAGCCAATATCCAGGTCAAGAAGGACCCAGCAAGTCTATTTTAAGGCAATCACTTGATCTTGAAGTGCAGACATAAAACATGTCAGGAGGAAGAGAAGTAAAGATAAAAAGAATAAGAAATCACAGATGACTTGTTGCTTTGAGAATTGTCTTCCCTTCAGGATCAGGGGGTTCTACTTTCCACTGCTGAATCACAATATGTTCCTCCTTTTCCTGTAAGCTCACCCGCCTCCCTTCCACCCCTCTCTTTCCTTTTTACCAGCTCAGCCTCTACTGATCAGAGGTCCAGCTCAGGTAGCTGGAAGAGGAGGAGGTGCGTTTACTGAGGTCACATGGCTAGCTGTGAAACAGGTATAAGCTGTACAAAGGGCCAGAGGCAGGTGCATAATGGAATGCTCACATTCCGGAATGACTCCACCTCTGTTCAGGCTTCAGAGCCAAACGCCTGATTAATAATGCAGCAATCAAACGTAAACGCTCTGCAGATTCTCCAGGGGGAAATCAATTTATAATGGGCGCAAAGAAGGGCAGTATACTAAACGACTCAAATAGTTAGGGCTCGTGCGCACGGTCGTAAAATGCAGTGTTTTTATCAGTACAGTGCTTTTTGTTTTTTTTTACGGATCCAAACACAGGTGTGTTGTTTTTTATAAGCCCATGCACATAGTGCGTAAAGATTAGTAAACTTGCCTTGATCCAAAAAATCTGCGCCTGAGGTCTTGCATATAGACCATATTTTGTACTGTATGCATGTAAACGTTTGTGCTGACTTTGACATGCATACAGCACAAATACACCCTGTTGGAGCCACCTGTGTCTTAGCATCAAGGGATGCTAGGCGGCAAGAACTTCCTTAGGTCCTTCATTGCTAGACGCAGGGGGCTTGAGCCACCTAGCATCCTTTGTTGTTAGGATGCAGGTGACTCGAGCTGCCTAATGTCTTTTGTTGCTAGAATGCAGGTGGCTTGAGCTGCCTAATGTCCTTTGTTGCTAGGATACAGGCAGCTCTAATAGAGTGCACTTGCACTGTATGTTGTATGCATGTAAAAGTTAGCACAAGCGTTTACATGCTTACAATGTAAAACATGCTCCATATGCAGGAGCATGGATACTAGAAGGCAGGAACTGCCTAGCATCCTTTGTTACTAGGACACAGGCAGCTCAAGCCACCTAGTGTCCTTTGTTGCTAGGATACAGGCTGCTCCAATAGAATGTCTTTGCACTGTGCGCATGTAAAAATGAACACAAACGTTTATATGCGTATAGTGTAAAATGCGGTCCATATGCAGGCTCTCAGGAAGCTGGAAGGCAGGAACTGCCTAACAGCCTTCATTACTAGAATGCTGGTGGATCGAGCCACCTAGTGTTCTTCGTTGGTAGGATGCAGGTAGCTCAAACCTCCTAGGGTCCTAGCAACTAGTAGGGCACATTGGCATTATACGCATGTAAATGTTGCCCACTGCATTCGTTTTCCATGTGTAGAACACATTTGTTTTGCAGAATGTTGCTGCCAGCTTCTGCCAGAAAAATCCTCTGTAAAGTTGTGTGCATAAAACCTTATGAGTTAAGGGCCACACTTTGCAGATGTAGTTGTAAATGTGCGCACCTGAAGCCTCTGTTTTTAACCTAAATGTTTAAACACTTTCATTACTTTTTTGAGCTGACAATCTGGTTTTGTATTGTTTAGCGTACTGCATGTGCACCTTTCTATTGTGAGTTATAAGTTGATTTGAGCAGCAGGCAGTGGTTCACTGCAGAGCTATTTGTTCTCAACGCCATTCTGAATGGCACCCCCACCATAATGCCTTGTGATGTGTTACTAATTCTGTCCAATTTTCAGGACGTTTTGGTGCGTTTTGGCAGCCTATAATTTTCATTGGGCTGCCTTAACACAATTTACCTTAACGCAAGACGTAACATGTGGTGACGCACTACAAAAATGTGAATGGGTCCCTAAGTATAAAAAGAGGCTACCTCCAAGGTAGCCTGCTCTCAATGTGTGTATGTGTGTGTGTGTGTATATATATATATA